TTCACTCACACAAGAAAAAACATAATAAAAAGGTTCACAATAACAAGTGTCAGTGGGGATGTTGAGAAATTGCAATGCTCATACATTGCTGATGGGAATGTAAAATGGTACGGTTGCTTCAAAAATAGTTGGAAAGTCCTCAAAATATTAAGTATATGACAAAGCAATTTCACTCCTAGGTATATACCCAAGAGAAACGAAGACATGTGTTCATTAAAAATTCATAGATCAATATCAATAGCAGCATTATTTATAATAGACAAAATGGAGTGGGGAGAAGCCCAGGGATAAATAAAATGTGGTATATGCATAAAATGGGATATTATTCAGCCATAAAATGAATGAAGTTCTGATATATGCTGCAGTGTCGGTGAATGTTGAAAACACTATGCTAAGTGAACTGAACCAATGAGGAAAGATCACATGTTATATGAATCCACTTACATGAAATGTTCAGAATATGCAAATCTATAGAAGGTTGGACAATCTACTTACATAGTGATACCACCTCGGAAACCCAAGGAGGGGTAGCTCTGAGTCGGATCTGACTCGACAGCACATAACAACAACATAGAGATAGAAAGTAAATTAGTGGTTTCCTAGGGCTGGCCCAGGAGGTACTGTGAATAGTTAATGAGTTCGGCTGCTAGCCTAGAGCAGGGTTAAGCCCACCCACTGACATCTCAAAGGAAAGGTCTATTGATCTATCTCCCAAAACGCAGCCATTGCAAACCCTATGGAGGAAGATTCAATTTTGGCACACATGGGTTTGCCCTGAGTTGGAGTTGACTTGATGGCAGCTGGTTTAGGCTAGGAGGGGGTTGGACAATTGGGAATGATTGCTAATGGGTATAGGTTTCTTTGGGAGTGGAGTGTAAACATTTTTTAAGATTAGATTATGGTGATGTTTTTACAATCCTATGGGTTTGCTAAAAACAAACAAACATTGCATTGTATACTTTACATATGTGAAATGTATACTATATGAATTATACTTCAATAAAGGTATTTTTTAATTTTATTGTGATTTGAGTAGAAGTTTACAGAGCAAATTCACTTTCCATACAGTAGCTCACATACACTTTGTCTCATGACATTGACTATAATTTCCCACAATGCAACAGCTCCTCACCCACTTCCTCCCCATAGTTACCTCTTCCCTGTGTCATTCCCTCCCATGCACTCCTGGCCCCACCCCACCCCCGGCTGCCTCCCTGTGCACACACAGCCCTTCTATTCTCCCATGATTGATCTCTCCAAGGAGTTTATCTACCTAATGTAAATGTTCAGCTCATATACCTGTCCTTTGTTTGGCTGGAACCCCCAGGAGTGGGTTCAATTCCAGACCTGAAGGGTAGCTAGGGGCCATAGTCTCAATGGTTCCATCAGGCTCTATCAGACCAGCAAATCTGGTCTTTTTTTTTTTTTTT